TAGGGATATTCTGCCCGAACCAGTATAAACCTCGTGTCCTCTTAGCACACCATCCAGGCCAGACGCACAATATTAGAATTTACTTGTTGGTGTCAACTCGAAACACCGACAGGCCCACTTGCAGCTACTCTAATCATGGAATTAAAGAGCAAATTATTGCACAGCAAGTTGGTCAAAGCATGGTACAACATAGTACGATAATGCCAAAAGAAAGTAATTGTGTGTTAGATGGATGGACAAATCTACAATAAAATCGATATTATTATTATGCTATGAAAGGGAAACCATGTGATAGTCAGATCTTATTTAGAGAGGGTGGCTTTGTGCGTGTTTGGGGCTAACACACACCGAATTTCTTCGGTAGTCCACCGAAGAAAGCACCAGACTTTTCACATAGTGCACCTGAACCAAACCCTAGCTACCAGAGCCATTACCAGAGAAGACCAACGATTCATGTTCATTATTACTATGATGAAACAAGTGTACTACTAGATTAACCACAACTAATAACCATATAAAACAAGTTATTACCATTCTAGAGTGTACATAAATCTTCAACAACCTTTCACGAGAAAACGAAGAAAGATAGATGTGGATGAGACTTGTCGCCCCACATTGAGCACCGATTATAATCACCTATTATTTGGCTTATATTCCTACTTAAAGGGAAAAATGCAAGGAGGAAACAAAATGCAAGGCTTTTTTTTTAGAACTGCACCTTAGATTTCTGACATGTGTACTTTTTCCCGACCTAGATCAAACGGCTTTGAAAGAAGGTCCACTGTGTCACTCATGGTTATGGATGTATAGCCATTTTCAGCTAATACACAGACTCTAAAAAAAGTCCCTTTTACCTCTATGAACTATCGTCATGGTTTGATTTCCTTCTCAAACTTCAAAACCATTTAAATTACCTCACTGTCTTGGTTTGGAGTGCTTGTAAATGCCCAATGAGGTTTTCAAACCATAAAAATGTCTTTAAGATTCTAAAAATTTTGAGAAAAATCATAGATACATATTAGGACACGAAAAATCCAAATAACATATTTAGAATAGTGTGAAAATCTCTAGGAGCTTTCAAAAAATAAATTTAGGTATAGAGAAGTGGAAAATATCCAAAAACTATGAAAAAAATCCAAAACATTATAATCAATGTTTAAACGCATTTTGAAAACTTCTCACAATAAAAACACGAGATACAATCAGTACAAATGCATAGCATGAATGCATTCAACATCGATTGGAATGTTTGTAAATTTTCAAAATGTGTTATATTCATGATGGTTGCATCTTGTGTTTTTGTTGTGGAAAATCTTCGAAATGCATTTATACATTTTGTAAATTTCCAAACTTTTCTAGATTTTTTTCCATTTTCATAGAACCCTTCAATATGGGATAAGAAGCTAACGTAAACGGTTTTAATAATAGTTAAAGAATATTGATATTTCATTTGAAGAGTACGTTGGAGTTGGAAAATCAGGCCACGACCACGATGGATTTCCGAGAAATTACTGCGCTGCGCCGTGTGGTCTAGCCCACAGCCACAGGACGGATAATTGGATGAGGCCACAAGGGACATGCGCGCCAAGCTCGCCGTGCTCGCCACCGGCGCCCCTCCGCCACCACGGCCGCCCCACCCCCCGCGGCACCAGCTCCGAAGGCCGGCCGCGTCGAGGGCTTCCCTTGCGGCGCCGGTGCGCCGCCCGAGAGGGGTCATGCCTGCGCCGGCACACCTCCCGCATGGGTGGCCACGTCGGGAGGGAGGAGAGAGAGAGAGAGAGGGAGGGAGAGAGATGCACGCACGGCCGGGGGAGGGGAGGCGGGATAGCAACCGCGGGCCCACGGTTGCCGGCACCGGCGGGGTCCGGCCGCGCTGGAGGGCGGCGGCCGCTCGGCCGCTACGCCGCTAGATCTGGAGGAAGAGGAGAGAGAGGGAGGAAGAGGAAGGAAGCAGGCGCGGACAGGAGGGAGAAAGGGAGGAGAGAGGGAGAAGGGTGGTGGGGCCCACAGGGGCAAAATCGTCTTTTCACATGGCAGTTAACGGTTCACGGGTGAAAAATCCAACGGAGTGTCGTATAAGGAATGAAAGATGAACTCGGTGTCAAATAGGGAACGGAATTTTTTTGATGACCAAGAAAGGAATATGTCATTTATCTGGTGTCAAATAAGGAATTCTCTCCGATGCCTATGCCACACACGGCAGTGAGCCACAGTGACAGGGTTACTAGCAGGAGCTCATTTTCCAAGTTCCAACCTCGCACACATCAGTAAAATATACCGCATGTTCGCTTGGTCGTATTTGGCTTATAAATCATGGCTTTTTAGCCAACAAACAATACTTTTCTCTCGTACCAAACCTGCCAACAGTACTTTCAGCCATGGGTTGTTTGGTTGATAAGCCATGGCTGAAAGTACTGTTGGCTGATTTGGTATGAGAGAAAAATAATGTTTATTGGTTAAAAAAAATATGGCTTATAAGGTCAAATAAGACCCCCCCCCACACACAACGAACCTGGCGTTGATTGTTTTCTTCGAGCAGCTCCATTGTCGTTTGAAATCGAACGGTGGGCTTGTCCAACCAAACGATGAACACTAGAGTGTTCGAACTGTCGCGGCCAGATCAAAAATCAAACTCACGAGACGGACCGAGAGCAATAAAATAACCAATCTTGTACGTGATGTGAGGGGGGGGGGGGCAGCGAATTTTCCTCCTAGCCGTGAGAGGATAGAGAGATATTTTTTTCTCTCACATGTGGACCCCACAAATCGATGTTTACGCTACGGCTATCAAACTCTGGTTCTGTTCGGCCTTTGTAGATTTCACAGTTCAATTTAGTATTGCAGGCGCCCGTACTTTGTTTAATATATTTAATTTAGCTTTATAAAACCTTACACTCCAAAATTGAAATTGTACGTGTAACCAGTGGTATTAGAGACTAGCTTCATCCAAGCCTTGATTTAATATGGTGAACAAGACATTGAATATAAATATGCATTTTAGGAAGAGAAAAAAAAACTTGTTCAACAAAACTGAGAACAGAGAAAGCTACAGGTACCTTAAAAACAGTTGGTGTATACCAAGATCGAGCCTGGAAATGTAATCTGAGGCGGCTAAAATTCTTTTTTTGTTTTAAGAAAAACAGGAGGGGAGACCTCAACTGTGTGTTTGTTATGAATCAGAAGAAAAATAAACAGTTTACAAGAAGCACTTATACTGCCATAATACCGTTTATTGAAAAATGAATAAATATAACAGCACTTATACAACCATATGCCGGTGCCGGTGAAGTAGAAAAGTTATTTATCATATACTAGCTTTTAATTCAGATCTCTTTCGTTCTGACTGGGTAGTTGAATGATGGACTGCAATGACAATAAACAATTTCAAACCTCCTATCTCGTGGTACGTCTTCCTCTAGCCATTGCAGACGACACTTGTGACAGCTCAAAATAACTTGTAGTACATGGGAACACGTCGGAGTCCACTGGCGGAGCCAGGGGGGGGCTGGCAGGGGCCATGGCCCCCCCCAATGTTTGACAACAAAAAAAATTAGTAGTATAATTTAATATTTTTTATTTATATTAAGAGGAAGATTATATAAAATTCTTGTCATATATATTTATTAATATTTTCTAGATAATATAATCATACAAAACACAACTAGATAATAAAATTATCGCAATGAAAAAGACCGAGCCGGCCCTCCTTAAGTATAATTCCTGACGGCCGACACCCCCTGACTATAAATCCTGGCTCCGCCACTGTCGGAGTCGGAGATGACATGAGGGCTTAAGGTGCGGTGTGCACCGTTGGTCCGTTGCGCTTGCGCACGCCGTGAGACCTGATGACTGGTGATGAACAGGGAGACTAACCACTGCATTAACTGCAGGTACGGGGAGGTTAATGGTACCAGTTTCAGATCCACATATCGGGGTATCGATGGGTCCATCCCCTCGTGGCCCTGCCCGATCTTCTTCCCGATCGTGCCGCGGCAGAGATGAAGGGACCGTTTGGCATGCCTTGTTTTGCAGCTCCAGGAGCTGTTTTGCTGCTCCACCAACTAACGGTCAACCGACAAAGTTCTCTTCTCAAGGAAACGTGGGAAACGCGCTCTCATAGTACCCTTCTTGCGCACGGAGCCAGAAATACTAGCTTCACCTGACTCCTGCTGATGCGTGCAGGCCCCTATGTAGATTGGACGTGGGTGCCCTTCTTCTTTTACCAGTAGCCACAGATGTTGGGGAGGGCGGGGCGGAGGCGGGCACCGGCGCGGGGAGGGAGGGCGGGCGTCCTAGCGTGGCTCGTCGGAGCTCCGGATGCGCTAGCACTCCGACGTGGAGGTCCCTGGCGTGCGACTGAGGAGGAGGAGGAGGAAGGGCGGTGGGCGGCAGAGCGCGGACCACACAGCCATGCCGGCGAGGAGGGCGGGCCGCGCGGCTGGGGAAGGAGGAAGGGCAGTGGCGGAGTGTGGGCCGCGCGTGGCATTGCCAACGAGGAGTGCCCAACATCGAACTTCGGGATGGAGACGCGAGGAACCCAAAGGCCGTCGTGGTTTCTTTTCTTTTCTTTTCTTTTCTTTCTTTCTTTTTGATAAAGTTGTGGCCATGGTTGACTGATTGAGGACATGGATAAGAGAACATATTGGAGGGACAGAAAAAATAAAGAAATGAAAAGAAAAAAAATAAGGGTATAATGAACATTGTACCCTTTTGAACTATCAGATGAAGTTGTTTTGCCAAACGATCCACAAAACCTGCTTTAACTCTCCGAGCTGCTATACAGGTGAAGTCACAGCAGAAATTTTGACCGGAGCCAGAGTCCTACCAAACGGCCTGATGCGTGCTTGCCAAATCATGAACGTTTGTTCTAGCGCGTATAGCCTGCGTGTTCGCACTATATATAAGCCACTGCATGCACAACTGAAGCCGACACAAACACGCCCGAATACATCTTCTCCCGGAACCGGAAGCTTCTGCTAGATTAACTTGTCGTCGCGGCGATGAGTAGCTTGCCACTGGACGCGCCAATGAAGCCACTGGACCCCCATGCCATCGCCGGCGACTCGCAGGCCATTCTAGAATTCCTCGCCGAGTACTACCGCGACGTGGACAAGTACCCGGTGAGGGCGGCGGACCTGGAGCCAGGCCGGGTCCGCAAGCTGCTCCCCGAGGCCGCGCCAGAGCACGGCGAGCCGATGGAGCACATACTGGAGGACGTGAGGCGGGACATCCTGCCGGGGCTCACCCACTGGCAGAGCCCCCGCTTCTTCGCCTTCTTCCCGATGAACGCCAGCTCCGCTGGGCTGGCCGGGGAGATGCTGTCGGTGGGCCTCAACGTCGTGCCCTTCGTGTGGGCCGCGTCGCCGGCCGCCGCGGAGCTCGAGAGCGTCGTCGTGGACTGGATGGCGCGGCTGTTCGGCCTCCCGCGCCGGTTCCTCTTCTCCAGCGGCGGCGGGGGCGTGCTGCAGGGGAGCACGTGCGAGGCCGTGGTGTGCACGCTCGCCGCCGCGCGGGACCGCGCGCTGGGTAGGCTCGGCGGGCACGAGGCCATCGCCAGGCTGGTGGTCTACGCCTCCGACCAGACGCACGCCACGTTCCAGAAGGGCGCCCGGCTCGTCGGGATCCCGCCCTCCAATTTCCACGTCATCAGGACGTCGGCGGCTTCCGGGTACGGTCTCACCGCGGAAGCCGTCCGCGCGGCCGTCGACCACGACGTCGGCCTCGGGCTGGTGCCGCTGTACCTCTGTGCCACGGTGGGCACGACGGGGCTCGGCGCCGTCGACCACGTTCGCGAGCTCGGGGAGGAGGCGCTCCGCCACGGCATGTGGATGCACCTCGACGCAGCGTACGCCGGCAGCGCCGCCATCTGCCCGGAGTTCCAGGACTACCTCGACGGCGCGGAGCTCGCCGACTCGGTGAGCATGAACCCGCACAAGTGGTTCCTTACCAACATGGACTGCTGCTGCCTGTGGGTGGCAAGACCCCGTGACCTAACCTCCGCGCTGTCCACCGACCCGTAGTACCTCAAGAATGTCGGCGCGGACGACGACGGCGCAGGAAAGGCGCCGGCCGCCATAGACTACAAGGACTGGCAGATCTCCATGACGCGCCGGTTCCGTGCCATCAAGCTCTGGGTCATACTGCGGCGGTACGGTGCGGCTGGCATGCGCGCGCACATCCGCCGGCACGTCGCAGCAGCCAAGTGGTTCGAGCAGAGGGTGGCGGCCGACGAGCGCTTCGAGGTGGTGGTCCCGAGGAGGTTCTCCCTGGTATGCTTCCGCCTCGCACCGCGGTCCGGCCTGGACGACGACGGCGACGACGACGCCACGAACCACGTGAACCGGGATCTCCTCGCGGCGGTGAACGCGAGCGGGCGGGCGTTCATGACGCACTTCGTGGTGGACGGCAAGTTCGTGATCCGGCTAGCTGTCGGCGGTGCCTCGACGGAGCTGCAGCACGTCATGGAGGTGTGGGACCTGCTGCAGGGCAAGGCTGCTGAGGTTCTACAGCACTATGTGAAGCCTAACGGGCTCTAGCTCTGTCCATCGTAGCGAAAGCACGGAGCTTTGCATAAGCATGCTCACTTGCACGATATTCTTCTAATGTTTGTTTCCAACTCGTACTATCTCGCGTAGGCTATGCATTTTCTTCTGTCAAAGTTTCGACGATTATTTTGTTTAATCAAAGTGTGATGTGTTTAATAAATTTCGACGATTATTGTGTGCCAAAGTGCAATGCTTTTAATCAATGTTTATATAAGTGAAAAATATGAAACTAAAGTACCGATCTTGACTGAGTACTCCTCTTTCTAATTTTGATCAGTCTTGTAGTTGGACTTGTTTCCATTGGGTCAGTGGTGGTACCGAAGATTGTTTGAATCAGTCCAGAGATGGAGGAAGTGGATTATGGAATTAGGGGGCTTAAACCCATAATGTCACATAAGGGGACATATTACAAATGGTAATAAGTAATACACATGTAGTATATTGCATATTTCAGCTAGCACCATATGATATTGCTCTTGCAGTGCATCCAAACAAGGAGATAGGTTGTATTTAAATTTTTATATGTGATATCTATTATTTGCTTGTTTTGGTAGTGTTGTCATCAATTATATCACCAAAATATGGGAGATTGTATGGAAAATGGGTCTGTGATCCATTAAGTTGGATTTTGGTGTTCGGTGAACAACATGACCATTTGGATTAACAACATTTTCTAGTATAAAAGGTTAAGTTCAAATAGATGCAAGGTTGGCTTGAACTTAGGCAACATGAAAATTGAAGTGATCAACACCTCAAGCAAGACATTATAAGCCATGTTGAAGACCTGCAAAACATGCTAGAAGTCTAAGACATCAGAAGTAGAAGCCCGGATGCGAAGACACAAACGAAATTGAAGCCGATCGAGATAAAGAGATGAATGAATTGGTCTTCTCTCATGATTTTTGGATTTGCTCAAATTGATATGATATCAGTTCAAAGCTATAGAGATCTTCAATAGCTTTCCAAAATATCAAAGATCATCAAAATCAAAGTTCGAAGCTAAGAGTTATGATCGTTGTTACCGAAGCAGTGGGCTGAGGCTGGAAAAGTAGGCTTAGCCAACCTTCAAGATTGGGATAGCCGACTCTCCTTGGAAAATTGTCAGTTGGGGCGATTATCACCGCTAGTTTGCCGATTATCACCGCTGGTTCGTAACATGACGGTCGACCCATTTTCACCGCTGGTTTGTGTTACGAAACCCTTTTATAAAGAACCAAAGCCCTGGCAAACTGGTCCTAACTATCAAATAAGATAGTGCCATTGTAACTACTCTTGTCTAGGCCGAAATGCCTAAATGTTGCAACGGCAACTATATATACGCTCTATGATATGGTACATAAGCCTTTGAATATATTGGTTGTCTCATGGCAGCAACACTATGGTATGGTATACAGATCTTAATAATATATGAATATATCTTGGTGGTCGTAGACGGGCTTGGACAAGGGTGAGCTTGACCCTCTTGGGGAACCATCAAGCAAGCGAGATCTCGAGACTTATGTTCTTCGTCCTGATCAAACCCAACCAAATCCGACACCCGCCCACGGTGGCTTTGCCATGCTCACCACACCGGCTCTTATGTTCTTCGTCAAATCATATCCGACGGCATATCCGACGCCCGTCAGTTCTGCGCCCAGCCGCCCACGGTGATTTTCACCATGTCCACCACACCACAACAGCAAACAGGTTACCAGACCGGCCAACCAATCCAAACTTTCTGCAAACAGGTTACCAGACCGGCCAATGCAATCCAAACTTGCTAATACCTTCTTGTACCATGATTATATCCCACGGACTGCTAGTTTTCCCAGAAATCATAGTAGGATTTAATAGTTCATGTTTCCCTCTTCGATAATTATAAATACATTAGATTATAATAACACCATTTTATCCTCTCATGAACCAACCTTTACCTTCAGTAAGCAGAAAACTATGAGACCACATAATAAGCAAGCAGATAACAGTGATGGACCTGGTGGATACCAATACCAACTAATATCATCTAGCCCGAGAGGAAAAGGGAAAACGAAGTTGACATATAGCAAGTGTTTCTGATGGAATCGAGAAACTTCATACCACAGATAATCCAACCTTGTTCTACAGCACGCACTCATACACTACAATTTATAAACAAAGCGTGCAAATGAGACAAGAGGCACTACACTGGCAGGAAAGAGTAATACTTTTATGTAAAACCACCCATGCATTCCAGATACACACCACTATACCACAGGCAGAGCGCCAATCGCCGTCTGGATACCTCCGGGCGGATGCCAGGATTCATTCCTGGCTGCACAGCAAAAATAACTTATGAAGGAATTTGTCACGATAAGCTCGATCAGATTTCGGAACCTCAGCTGCCTTCCAAGCTTTTAGGCAGCAAGTACTATTATCACTATGAGCAGGACCACTCTGAAAATAACCAGCAACAAGCATATCTGCAGAAAGAAAATTGGTCACTAAATCTGAACAGCAATGACGGAGGATGGTGTTCCTAAAAATGGATCTAGGATACTAATGAAGTGTAAAAGGGCTCGTGAAATTACCAGCGAAGAGTTCGACTTCTGAGTTTTAGCAGCTTTTGAAAGCTGGCCTTTAGCCTGTGAAGTCGCTACAACGGCATTCTCTATATGGGAGTCAATGTCATCTGGTTCACAAAAGGAGAAACACAATTAGATGGGGAAGCGGGCAGGCCTATGCTTGAACGTACCGAAATGTAGATCCAATTTGCCAGAAAGGTCACATACCTATCATTGCTCCTTGATCATGGACTAGCACAGCAAGATCTTTGAAGATTTCGTTTACTTCAGTGATTTGGTGCTGAATCTCTTGTATTCCCTGATCCCTCTCCTCAATGATGGCCTCATTGAACACAATTTCATTATCCAAGAAGACCAACTCCTGCCTATGGACTATGGTAAATCAAAAGTTTGAAATTAGCACCTTGAGATATTCAGAAAATTGACCTGTATAACAGTATAAGTAGGAAAAAGGTCTCATTCTTGACATGCAAACAAAGGGCGATATGTATTGTCCAAGCAACGTTAAAAATCAAGGAAGGCATATGGGACTCCAAATTAAAACCTGAATACATAGCTAACAAATCTATATAGAACAAGTAGTTCCACATAACACAACAGACAGAATCAACTTACCTTCTAGATTCTAGAAGCTGCGTGCGCTGCTCTGCCAACTTATCAGCGCCATTATTCACTTCACTTGAGATGTAGCTGCAAAGAATGTGAACTCCAAGGTTAGGCACTTAGGCATATTGTGGCAATACACTGAACAGTTTTAGTAACATTACTATTAACAGATTTAAAACGAGGGAAGTGAGAAGAAAAGAAGCATTCTCAAAAAACATTAAATTATTAATGAATTACAGAAGGGAAACAATTATAAAATGTGGTATAGAAGCATGAAGGCAAAAAATGTCTAAAGATCATGCTTTACTGTTTCTATTGAAGAGCACAAAAAAAAGGGCAGACCTAGTGCCGGAGGCTCCCACATGAGTGGGGTCAGGGGAAGGGATAAACCGAGACAAGCCTTTCCCCCGCAAAATCTGCGGAGAGGCTGCTTCGAACCCACATCACTAAAATAGACTAAGCTAGAGGAAATATTTTATCATGTGAAATCAAGACTATCACACTTTCCCTCTCTTCTTGCAACACAAGTGTTCAAAATAGAAGTATAGAACACGAGTCTGACAACTGGGCCAGGGGCTAGCAAGCCACAGCAGCAGTCATGAACTAAATGCTAGTGCTTGGTTCAACGTGCTTAATTTTTTTCTGGCAAAATGTGGTAGTGAACCAAATTTATTTTAGCAAGAGGACAAATAATACACAAATGGAACATATCGAGCAAAAATGATTCAGTTTGAGGGCTCATCTCAGAACATAACACATTTCTGATATTTAGCATCATGGCAGGGTTAGATTAGCTTTGAATAGTTGATAACTTCATGCTGCAAATTATAATGCAGCAGAAATATAATGTCGTAGTGTGTAGGTATGCAAGGATTGATGAAATCAAACAAACATAAAATGTAATAAGACATTATATTTCTGCTGCATTATAATTTTCACACAGAGTGCAGCTAACTCAATTCCTGAGATGTATCTTTGTGATGTTGACGGCCATCTTATTGCACTTGGCAACTGGCTGGCAAAATCTTTTATGAGTTTATTCATTGCACTTGTATTAATAATAAATTTTCAGACATTGTACCATTACAGGACTGTTATGGTTGGGAACGTCTACCAGCACTGCAACAATTGCAGCCATGGCTTACGGCGCAGGCATGGAAGAACACAGCATGCCAAGTCATCCACATTGTTTGAATTTCAAATAAGTTCAGTTTGTTAATTTGGTTTGTTGTCTTTTGTGTTGGATTTTTGGTTAGATAAGTTCTTAGGATTTGGCTATAAAGCCAGAACATTGATCATCCAGATTAAGCAGGAGATTGAGTTATCTCTCTGCTTCTTGCTTCTCCACTCTTGCTCTCGCTCTCTGCCGCACACAGCACGGCTCCTTGACACCAGGGATTCAAGCCCTGGCCACCAGTCACACACTGCTACAACCTACGCAATGCTCCATGTCCTATCAAGGGCTACCAAGAAGGCAAGAAATGAATAGCGCCAATGCTAAATTATGAAACAACAAAAGTAAGGGTGTGAACAGAGCATGGTTCCAAATTTCATCATATCTAGGTGTAGTAGGAGGAAAAAGGAATGAGGTAATGCTTTGTACCATCAAAGAAAACAAAAAATTTATACTTAAAATGAACAAAATGGCACAGGGAAATTTCGTTAAGAATACTCATAGATTTATATCGAGAATTCGAGATAGGCACATACGCTGACTTCAACGCGATGATCCGCCTCGCTAGCTTGTTTAAGCTTGTCTGATGTATCCTTCACTAGTTGTGTTATGTGTTGCCGTGTTTTGTCTGCAATCAAAAGCAAGTGATAGTTAGTAGTAGACACATCAAGATGATTGGAACTTGCTAGCCTATAGTTGGGCATCATTAGAGTTACTATTAATTCATTTAATTTCAAAATATAACACAAAATGAGCAAGGACAGCATAAGAATTGATTCAGATGACCAAATGAATCCATGTAGGTCATATGGCTTGATTCACTCAATTCAATGGCCGATGACTATCAGCTAAAGTAAGCATCATCAGTCAGGAGCGATAACGTATGGAATTAGCAAATTGGGTTACGGAAGCAATCCCTAAAAAATGAGGGAAAATTAAGCCCCAAGCAACCATTGGCAACAGTAATCGATGTATCAACCACTTGCAACAGGAATCGATGCATCCACAGCAGCGATGAAACCTAAGCCGTAATAATTTTACAGGCGGATCAAAACCAGAGTGGACCGAGTCCGCGAAATCAAAACAGATGGGGGTTAAAGCAAGGCAATCAAAACAGATTGGGGGTAAGGTAAGGCAGGTAGGCGGGGGCGGCGGACGCACATCCTGTCGCGGAGGTCGGGGGTGTCCTTGGGCGTGCCGAGCGTGTTGACGAGGCGCTGGAACGTGGCGACCGCGGTGTTGATCTGGAAGACGCCCGACGCCACGGCCTGCGACGCGCCGGCGCCGGCTACGCCCTCCCCCGCGGCGCCCCGGCCGTTCCTCCGGCCGCCGCCGAGAGGCGCCCCGCGGACGTGGCCCGCCTCCAGGTCCTGGAAGCTCATCCTCTCCTTCTCCTTCCCCTGCCTCTCTTCCTGGCTGGCTACCACCGGCCCGGTCGAATCGTCGCCGCCCCCGCCGCTCGAATCGAGGCTCCCTCCTCCGAGCAGGAGATGGGATTCGAATCGGGGTCTCTCGCTCGCTCGTTCGGCCGGCCGCGAGAGGGGTGAATTGGGATTTGGGGAGTTTGGAATCGGGGGACCGCGTCGCGTCGTCCTTCGGCCTTCTCTCTCTCTTGTCCTGTGTTTCGTTTCGTGTGGCGTCGGATTGATTGGGGATTCCGGAATTCGCTCGCGGCGAGCAATAAGCTTTGTCGCGGGTTCGCGGCGTAATTATGCTGTTGGCTTCGGGTCGGGGCCAACAGGCCAAGCCACAAGCCAGCGTTGCCTTGCCCGCCGGGTCGGGCTCCGCTGGATCGCGTACACCTTGGCTGCTGGCTGGAATTGGCCCTCGTGGGTCACGCGCGCCGGCGGCTGTGGCAGGCAGGACAGTTGTGGGTCGCCTCTGGATTGACGGCCAGTTAAAAGTGTCTAACAAGAAATTTATATGAACATCTAAATTCAAAATAAATAGTAAGAGATCTAAAATTAGTCTCTAACAGAGTACCTATACAGGAGATTTATTTTAGGTTGTATGAGAGACATAACCTAAATATGGGCATCATCTCTCCTGGAAACTTATTTACAGAAAAGATTCTCTTTTGGATCTTATTTTTGGAGAAGATACCGAATATGTATTGAACCATTTATCTGTAGCGCTACTCAAAAGACGAATAGATCTTATATTTTGGGTGTTGTTGTTAGAGATAGCCTTAATTAGGCTACGGTATCATGACTAATCTACAACTACTCAGAAACGGATTTGTAACCTGCTACTCCTGCTCCGTGGTCCGTGGTATATTTATTTATTTTATTTTATTTATATTATATAAGGTAGTTTGGATGAGCGGCCGACTTGCGAATGCTACCAAGGGGGGGAGGGGGTTTGGTGGGGCTAGAAACGAGCAACTTGGCATGAGGATTAACGCGCGAGGGGAAGATTGACACTTGACAGAGTAATTAACAATCCAACAGCCACCGGTTAAGAGAGGGAGGGAGGGAAGGAAGGTTGGACAAACGGCAGCGTCGCCGTAGGGGCGAAGGAAGAAAGGCGGGGGCGTCGAGGTGAGATTGACAAGGACCGGCAACCTCACCAAGAATCATTCTCCTGATGGTCCGATCCGTTGTGATCTGAATGGCATGCAAATTGCAGTGACGGCTGTTGTTAACAAATTATTCCAAATTATAGGTCGTTTTGACTTTGTTTATGTACATAGTTTTTACTATACAACTAGATATATTAAAAATTCTGTATCTAGAAAAGCCAAAGCAACCTAAATATAAATCGAAACGGATAGAGTAGTAGTATAGAATATGCAATACGGTATCCGTGAGCCTTTATAATCCTCTCATCATATTAAGATAACAATATATACAAAGTATATATTTTAGTATAGCTTGAATACAATTTAAAAGCCAACAATTAAAATCACCTTGCGCTGAGAAGTTCATTAATTATCAACGTACAGCATGATTTGGACTTTGTTTAGATCTTATATATAACTAGATATACAATATGTTTAGATATATATATTAAAAAATCTATATCTAGAAAAGCCAAAGCAACCTAGTATAAATCGAAATGGATAGAGTAGTAGTATAGAATATGTAATACGGTATCCGTGAGCCTTTATAATCCTCTCATCATATTAAGATAACGATATATACAAAGTATATATTTTAGTATAGCTTGAATACAATTTAAAAGCCAACAATTAAAATCACCTCGCGCTGAGAAGTTCATTAATCATCAACGTACAGCATGATTTGGACTTTGTTTAGATCTTCTAATAAAAATGAAATGAGGTGGAAAAATGATAATGAAATTTAAACATTTAGATTTTAGAATCCAGCTATCTTCCTCAAACCTATTAGTTGGAGTTTTTAATTTATTAAAAGCAATAATCATTATTAGAATGAGATCCAAACGTCTCTTTTTTTATATAGGTACTGTATGATTGTACAGTAAGGAAGTAACTATGCGTGAAGCATTTTCTGTTCAGTCGAACGTGTGTAGGCAAGATGCTACGAATCAAACTATCGAAGACTGCTTCACACGGTGCCCACGCCTCCTATGTCCTCTTTTGTGGCCCCTTCCCAACCTTCCCAACCTGTAATACTTGATAAAAAAGGATAACGATTAGACCCCGCATCCATCCATCCGGACACCGCGCGCATCACTCCGCCTTGCTGCTGCCACCTTCTCCCGTGGCGCACCCCATCTGTGCCGCTCGCTCCCACGCCTTTACGCGCGCCGCCCGCTTCTGCACTCCTCATCCTCGCCCTCCCCACCTATCGGTGTCTCTCTCGCATCCACTAACAGCAGAGCGCCTCTCCGACCTCTTCCCCAACCCTAGCGCCGTCGGGGTGCCTCGCTGTCGTGGGCCGCCGCCACCGCCCCTGCCGATGCCCACTGGGCACACGTGCTGAGGCGCCTCAAGTCGCCCCCGCCCGAGCCAAGGGCACCTACGAGCGCAACCGGCGCTAGTGGTGCTTGCACGCCACCGGCTCCCACCCCGATGGCCGAAATCGACCAGCCCCGGCCTCCCCTATGTTGCAAATGTATGTTTCAAGTGTTTTAGAGGTATATTGCAAGTGTTTCATATGGATGTTGCAAAAGTAGATTGGAATGTTGCATATGTTGCAAATGTTTCAGAGGTATGTTGCAAGTGTTTGTTCAAAATATTTCATCTATTTCAGATGTATGGTACAAGTGTTTTATCTAGGTGTTACGTATATTTCACACATATGTTGCAAGCACATGTTCCAATTGTTTGATCTGTTTTAGTTGTATGTTGCAGCAGGTGTTTCATGTTGCAAGCGCAAACCGCCGGTGTTGGTGTTGGTGTCGATAAGGGCGATAGGGCCGGGCCGCGGCCACCGACGCAGGGAGGAGGCGTATGGTGTGGAAGAGACGGGAGCGAGTCATCTAGGCACCGTGGAAGAGGCGGAGGCGAGTCATCGTGGCGGTGTGGGCAGCGGAACGGAAGCGGGCAGTCCAACTGCGGGCACGAGAAACGGAGCTAGCACGGGCGGCCCACGAATCTAAGCAGATGGGCGGAGCAGCCGCGGGCGCTAGTCTCATCGGAAAAAAAAAACATGTACACTCTTTGTCGCGGTACCACATCGGCATGGAGAAGTGATGATTGGCACGACTGGGCGGCTCGTGCTCCAGCTATGTAACCAAACTTTCCTTTTTGGACTTGTTCGGCTGGACTAGAATCCGGCTTGTTCGGCTTGTTTTTCCAGTCGGGACAGTATTTTTCTCTTACAGAAAATCAGTATGAATAGTAAAAATCAGCATGAACAGTAGAAATTTCAGTTCAGCCGAACAAGACCTTTATTGGTCTTCATCCTTTTTGTTTCTCTTTTCTAGGGCATTGAAGACATTCCTTCCATGGTTGATGGTTCCATCATGTCATGCCTGTTGGCGCGCGTGTTCGCTTCGTGCTGGAAGGCTACCTTTTGGAACCGAGTCTAGTACGAACCCAAGCATGCGAGCACGTAAGCGAGGTAAGGAGTACACAGTGCTGCACTACTGCTGTGTTTTTTTTTTATTAAAAGCCTCTCCTCTATGTATAGTTGTTGTATCTGTTCATGCACGAACACACACGGCAACACTACACACGAACACCCCACACACCAGATCTACAACTTCTTGAAATCACCGATACTATCCATGGCCCCGTAGACAACGGACGCTAATTTCTTCGTGGCTCCACGCGATAGAGGCGGTAGATTAATTTTTTAAATAAATCCCGACGAGAGACGTGAGTCGATTCTGGGCATCGAACTCACGCCGGCAGCGGGCACACCTGGCTCTGCTAGCCACCCGAGCATAGCTCGGTTCTCTGCTGTGCTGTGGCAACCATGAAGCAGTCAAGCTCGACCGGTCGACGTCAGTACGCTAAAGAATTCAGAGAGACATCCACCTTGTTCGGCTTGGTGAAATGATGGCTGATTTTGGCTGTTTGTACAGTGCACAAAAATCAGCAGAAGCCTTTCAGCAGAATCAGCCGTTCGGCTGAATTAAAGGCTGCCAGCAATTTGAATTCAACAGCCACCATTCAAATTCTGGAGCCAACAGCCCAGCTCACAATACAAACTTGGTGCCAATTACCAGCAAACTGAAGCAACCAGTTACAAGTCATACGTTTGAATCAAATACATAATTGTGCACAGTAACAAGTACCCGGCCCAATAATAAGTTCATCATCACGACGTACAACCATGTCTTAATACAGTTCATTTGTTCACCTCACTACTCTCCTATACATGTGGATTAGTGGAGCATTATACAAAACATGCAGCTGTTCCAACGATCATTTGAAACAACTACTGAAACAGAGGCAAGCAACTTTGTGCTGGTCTGCTCCACGAACAAGCAGCCCATTGGCCACTCGCCGAATACCTGCATATGCCAACTTTCTAATACTGGCCTACTATTTTGATTTGACAACTACGACTACATCTAAGAAATGGCCTAAGTGGAATCTGTACAAAATGTGTACCAGTTGCAAGGCACATATGTAACAGCACGAAGAAGACACCCATGCAAAATACCCTTACGCAACCTTCACTGATCTTCATGCCATCGTCCAATCCACTTGAACCATCACCAGCAGGGGCACATATTCAGTTGGGATCCAACTAAGGCATGAATCAAATCATTTTGTTAACTGACAAAAGTGTCAACATATTTTGTTTACCTCAACTGCAGACTAGCTACTCCATACTTGATCCAGTCCCGAACCCTACCCATATCCTCAGTCGAATTTTGTGCAAGGCAGGCATGTGTCCATTGGTTCATTGGCGTACCTGGAGTACGTGGTTTCAGCCCCTCCATGTAGTTGTGCAGTCCAAAGCAAGCCAAAATAATCTTGGATTGTTTCTCTCTCGGATAACGA